AAAGAGCGGTTAAGGTACTGCTTCGCTATAGAAATAAGCAGCCCTGTTCGCCTTGCCTTCTTAGGCTTCTATTGTACAACACCTTGAACTAAAATTTACTGTTAGATACTATCACTAGGGTAAGCATCCCTGAGAAGGACGCATGGGGATTTCAAGCCTGAAGCCTAACCCTCCCTCTTCCGCCGATCGCATCTGTGTCAGTCTTAGAAAGAAGAAAAATCGCAAACCTGATTAATCTTCACCGAACTCCCGCTCCTGTCTCGGATGGACTCATCAATGTGAGTGATCATCCATTCCCCACTCCTCTTGGGAGAACTTCCTCGGAACCACACCGATGCCAAGTGGTGTGTGTAAGACTCTCTGGCTGCTGTCACTATAGGATCATTCCCCTGCAGTTCTCGGGGGAGGGCTCACCTGGAGTGTTTCCTGGACCCAACTGAGTTCCGTATGCAGCAGCCTGGGAAGCTCCTCAGGGGAACTTGCTGTTAGCACTGTCAGATGGCCTATCCTTTCCCATCTATATATTTTAAATCCCACAACAGACACTGATTCTTAACACAGCAGTCAGCTCAATGGTTCCCAGAACCTGGGACCATATCTAAGGCAAAAAAAGAAAAAAAGAAAAGAAAGGCAAAGGCAAAGGAGATCCCCCTGCCTTGCTACTTTGAGAGCAGGTGCAGGTTTCATTTGCCAGAGTGGAAGGCAGCTGGTGAGAGAAGCAGGGACTGGTCTCTGGCTGGCTCTGCATATATGTAGCTGGTCATGCTTGACTCTAAACAGGACTCTTGGGCTGGGCCTCTCCCTGGGGAATTCAGGGCAAGGAAAGAGGCTTTTGCAAACTGGGACTCCTATATAGTTCTATTTTGTTAACTCTTGACTGGACCAAACTGATTGATCCCTGAAGACAGAGCTTATGTCTGACCTTTTCACAGATAAATCCCCAATGCGAGGCATAGTACATCCTAAATAAATTATCGATGAATGAATGCATCGAGAAAAAATGCTTGGAGGGGGATTGTTGCATCATTACTTTTCTTTACTTGCTAATGGAAGAATGGCTGCCTAGTAAGATTAAAATCATGTATATTGATAATTCACCTTCCATTACTACCAATCAAAAATATTGTGTGTGTGTGTGTGTGTGTGTGTGTGTGTTTGTATGTGTATACATAGGTGTAATTTATGACTCTCCATCCAAATTGCGATTGGGTTCTAGGAATCTGTCCGAGTATGTATCCAGGGAGTGAAAATGTTGAAGCTACTTTTTGAAGAAAAGGCTATCCTCTGTAGTGTCAATAGGTCTGGGTTCTCTAGCCTTATGCTAAATGCATAAATGCTGACAGGCGCTGAGGCATTTTGAGATAATAAATGTCAAGATGAAAGCTAGGAGATTGATTTTTCAAAGCCAGATACACAATCCTGTTCTTCATTAGAGCTGCATGCATGTGTACACACACACACACACACACACACACACACACACACACACACACGGCAACCACTGTAGATCCTTCACCCCAGTTGCTCAGAAAGCCAGGCAGGGCTGGGGGCATTTGGAATAGAGTATTGCAAAGGCCCCAGATTCATTCCCATTTCTCCAAGCTGGAAGCAGAGTTCATCTGTTTTGCAAGGGGGGATAGGAATAGGTTTGTGAAGATTGCCTGCTGGGCCCTTCCTCCTCCACTGGGCTGGGATTGGCTGGCCAAAGATGCCCATTGATTGTAAGTGTAGCCTTGAGAGCCAGGATGACTCATTCTGTATTTTTATGAATCAGTGGATGGCCTCCTGGATGAAGGTCCCCCTTTTATCTGCTATTTTTAATGGATAAGCGTTATGCTTGGGAATAAAGCATAATTCATCTGAACTAGTATTAAGACCAGGTATTCAGAATGAATGTCCAAGTTGGTTTCTGTATAAATTTGGTGGGAATGAAAGAGAAGGGGTAGGGGGAATACATATTACATATCTCATTTACACCCTCTCACTTATGTCCCTCTGAGATAGGTATTCATGGTGGAGTAAATTGGGGCTTGGAGATGTTGAGTAATTTGCCAAAACACATCACACAGACAGTAGAGTTAGGATTTGAATCCTGGTCTGTCTCTCCTTAAAACTCTGTTGTTTTCCTTTTATTCTATTTTGTCTCTCTCCATGGTAAAGCCACAAGAAATGTGATTTACTTCTCCAGACCTCTGGCATGTAAGCTTGCTTTCCCTCTTTCTGTGAATATAGCTCCTTTGATCTTTTTATGTCTGGCTTAAGGGAATGCTCTGTGGCTGTTTCCAGAGTAAAATGGCTTTTCCTCTAAAGTAGAGACATGATGGTCAAATACAGCTCAAAAAGAACCAACTCAAGGAGGGATGGGAGAGTTTTCTGTCTAAATTGTTACAAGAACATTAGCTCTGATGGGGAACTCATTTTATCAACCATTCATTGAACAAGCTACATGGCAAGTGATTTAAGCAGCTAAACTGAAGAAGCACGATGCCTTTGGAGAAAGATGGGCCTGGATGGAAGGCAAAGCCCCGCCACTTTCTATCTGTGGACCAATCTCTTAACTTCTCTGAGCTTTCCATGCCTCAACCGCAAAATGGGGATAATAAGATGAACTTCATGGTGTTGAGAGGATCAGATGCAGGAAAGAGACTGGCCCACAGTTGGCACTAAGTGAACCGTAGCTACTGTTGTGGCTGTTGTCATTTTTATTGTCATAGCTATGTGTATATGACACGGTTCTTGGTGCCTTGATAACTTGGAGGCTATCATTTTAATCATGTATATAATTAGGCACTATCATGTCACATCTGCTTAATGATTATGAGTAAGACCTTCCTAGACACGAGTCCCAGCTCTGCCACTTGCTAACGGGGTGTCTTAGGCCTGGTCCCTGGAAGCAGAGCCTGAGACTGGGATGTATTTTTAAGTGGCTGATTGAGGGTGCTTGCAGGAAAATGGGAGCAAGAGGAGCAGGGCAGGGGAGGGAAAGAAGCTAAGTAAGGATTTGGTTTCAGCTGGATCCCATCAGGAGTTCTGGAGCATGACTTGTACCACAGAGCTAATCTGACCTAGAAGCAACGGGAGAAGCATTCTGTACCCCTACACTGCTTATCCTTCCCACTTTCTTCAGTTAGTTTTGGACTGGGGCTACTTCCTGAGTTAGGGCATGTAACCTTTCAAGCAGAGGTAGTCCCCCTTGGAAGTGGGGAAGCAGGGAAGGGGACTGCTCTGAGGGAACAACCAGCACTCCCAGCAGGTGGTGGATGGGTGCACTGCCTAGTAAAAGGGATGGGGTGAAGCACAGACAGCGTGCCCTCTACACTGATGGTTAACCTTGAACATGTTCTTACTCCTCTAAACTTGAGTTTCCTATAAAATGGAGATAAACATAGCACCTGCCTTCATAGTGTTGTAATGGAGTCTAAATGAGATACTATGCATGAAGATCTTTCTGATGATGCCTGGCACATAGCAAGTGGTCAATAGATGATAGCGATTAATATTTAAACTATTATTTTTGGTTTCCATAGACACCGTCTATAGTTTCTCATTCACACTGGGACTCTTTTGAAAGGGGCATTAAAATAATTGTTCTGGGACTACAGGAGCATGGTCCCTCCTAACTGATAAGGATCGGATCGATGCCTTTGCTGTGAGCAGTCTTGTCACAGTAGAGCTTCTCTGGGGAAGGAGCTAGTAGAATCTGGGGCGGAGGGTCCCAGGTGGGGCTTCAGGAATGTTTTTAAGTGGCCATTAACAAGCCTTGTCTGGTTTGTGGCTCAAATTGGCTTGTGGTGGAAAGGCACTAATGGATTGGGGACGTTTATTTTCCCAGACTGATTTACAGCAAGAGGCTTCATGAAACTGCTGGAATGAGACCAATTGGATGAAAAATGGTTCCAGCCAGTCATGGCTCCATTGGTTGATCTGAAAATGGGCTGAGGGCAGGCCACTCTAGAGGAAAGCCAACAGATTGATGGGATCCTATATATCATGAGGGTAAATTATATTAGAGATATGAGAAAGAACTAATATTTATTGAACCCTTGTTATGAGCCAGGAACTGAGTTGCCTGTAATATACTCTTTGTTTCATTTTATCCTAATGGCAACTCAACAAGATTGGTATTGGTATCTCCATTTTAAAGATGGGGAACTGCCATTCAGAGGCATGTCAAGATCACTAACTGCTAAATGGAAGAGTGGCATGATAATCCAAGTTCTGCCTTGTTCCTGGATGCTTTACATTTGGGAGCTGGAAAATCAGAGAGATAGTGACAAAGGCAAGAGAGAGAGAGAGGGAGA